CTGGCCGGGAAGATCCCACATGCTGTGGGACAACTAAGCCCGTGCACCACAATGAGCCTGCATTCTAGACCCCATGCTGCGTAACAAGAGAGGCTACCACAAGCAGAAGCCCGTATACCTCAACTAGAGAGTAGCCCCTGCTCCCTGCACTAGAGAAAGCCCATGCACAGCAACTAAGACCCAGAACATCGGAAAAAAAAAAAAAAACCCACTAGCAAACCAAATCATATTAAAGGGGTTATACATCATCACCAAGGGAGATTTATTCTCAGAATATAAAGGTGGTACAACTTAAGAAAATTAATCAAACATATATAAATAGAATGAAGGAAAAATTCCACATATTCATCTCAATAAATGCAAACAAAGCAGCTGACAAAAACCAGACACCATCTCATGACAAAAACACTCTATAAGAAGAGAAGGCAATCACCTCTAGGATAAAGGCCACATATAAAAACCCCAATGCTGTAAAAAACAATATTGCCTAGGAACCTGGAATGTCAGGTCCATGAATCAAGGTAAACTGGAAGTGGTCAAACAGGAGATGGCAAGAGTGAACACTGACATTAGGAATCAGTGGATTAAAATGGACTGGAATGGGCAAATTTAATTCAGATGACCATTATATCTACTACTGTGGGCAAAATCCCTGAGAAGAAATGGCATAGCCCTCATAGTCAACAAGAGTCCAAAATGCAGTACTTGACTGCGATCTCAAAACCGACAGAAAGATCTCTGTTCATTTCCAAGGCAAACCATTATCACAGTAATCCAAGTCTATGCCCCAACCACTAAGGCCGAAAAAGCTGAAGTTGAATGGCTCTGTGAAGACCTACAAGTCCTTGTAGAACTAACACCAAAAAAAGAAGTCCTTTTCATCATAGGGAACTGGAATGCAAAAGTAGGAAGTCAAGATCTTGACACCTGCAGTAACAGGCAAGTTTGACCTTGGAGTATAAAATGAAGCAGGGCAAAGGCTAACAGAGCTTTGCCAAGAAAATGCACTGGTCGTGCTTGTTTGGAAATTCCTGTTCCCTGATGACGTGTAAAGAAGTCTGACGCTGCACTGTCAGATTTAAACACCAACAGCTTCACCTGCTTTGACATCTCACTCTTCCCTGATTTGAAGACACAAAGGAAAACTGCTGTTGTCTTTAGCTCCTGAGACAATTTGCATATAGTCAATGCCATCCCTCTACGTGAACTGTTACTGGTATTATAGTACTTTGCTCACAAGACATGTTGCTGTAAAATTATCGCTTAAAGTAGTAGCGGCAAGCACCTAGTGTAAATAGTGATCCTTTCAGTCTAAGTGACAGTAAGTCACCCCAACTCTGGAAAGGCTGGGCTGTGGAATCACGCCTGTTAGCTCCTCCTGGAGTGTGTCCCACAAGCCATTCCTCCTGCACCCTGCCGGAGGCCACGGTGGTGCTCCAGAGCTGCTGCTCAAGGTGCACCCACCCTCTGAGTGTTGTCTCTAAATGTTAAAAAACAAACACAGTGATGTAAGGAGAAAAAGATATTCCCTGTTACACTTCCATACTTTTCATAAGCTTGCTAGGGCAAGAGTGCAATCAGCAACTACAGTAAAGTGAATCTTCTTTTCATCCACCTTTCATTTTTTTCCTTGAATGAGGAAACACATTGGTCTAGCAAGAACAGTGTTTGTGCCTTGAAGATAGCAATTCTAGAATAGATCTGTCTAAAATACGGCATTCTGCATTATGTTGCTTTGTTTGTTTAGAGAGGGTAATACTGAACAGTCTTCAAAGAAATGAAGTGAAGATCCAGTACTTCAAGAACATAATATGTTTTGAGATGGCTGAGCAGTCAGATACACTTGTAGGGTTTTTTGTATTTATAAGATCCTGAGTTCTTGATTGTTGGCCAGTTTTCAGGCAGGTAAAAATCAATGCAGTCTGTACATTTTTCTAAGTTTACCCAAAAAAATGCTCTATTCCTCATGTGGCACATGCTTTATGCTGCTGAAGACTAAACCCTCAAAATACAACCTAAGGAGGGAACTAATAATAATTCGTTAGAGAAAATCACTGGTGTTGCTACTAATTCCTGTCCCATTGGTGGTAATGGATAAATAACATGTCCTGGGCAGATGAACTCAACCTGGTAGATAAAAGTTTGCTTGGGTCACAGCTGCCTATGAATATGGGTTTCAAAACAAACATAAAGCCTTAACTTAGTATTTCATTATGTTTTAGAATCATCACTGCCTTAACGTTTCAAACATCTATTTCAGTTCTCCTAAAGGAGAAGTGCATGTTTGTTTTGGCTTTTTGTAAATATATATGCAGTGATCTATGGCTTAAAAAAAATTTTTTTTGTGTTTCTGTGACAATGTTTGTTAATCCAGCCAACTGAATTATTTACATAAAATTGAGCATGTAATAGTTCATGTACCAGTAAGAACTGTCTCCCACCCCGAACCTTAGTTCCCTGAATTGTTCTAAGATTTGTAAAAGCTGAACACTCAGTGATTAAAGAGAAGTGAGAATTCTACCTTTTGTGTGAATTCTTCAACATATTCATGACTTTGTTGCTTTAACTCTTTACAAATTCATCATCCTCTGAAAGTCACATGATGAAATGACTGTGCCTAGTTATTTCCATTACCTTTGTTCATGAAAATATGCTAAGTTTTCCCAGTAGAAAGGAAAAAGACATTCCATTACCAAAGCTGCTATTTTGATGTAAAGTTTTTATTTTGATAAAAACTACAATAAGTTTTTGGAAAATTTTTTCAAAGGAAATTACTCTCTTTTTTTCATCCAAATGTCACCATTTCATAATGGGGTGTCTTTTATCTTTGTAAGTAATGTGGTTCTGGCTTAAGAGCAAATATGCGAGAGTAAGGCTATGAGTAGTTCTTTGCTCAGTCACTAACTGTAGGAAAGCCAAATCAATATGTTTGATTCCTTTGAGATAAAGGGAAATGAAGAAATTTTTTATAGACTTACCTGAAAGATGCAAAGTTTGAAGCTACTTTTGATTGGAAGAAAACATATCAGTGTCCATCTAGTTGTGAAGTTGAATTGTTTTACTAGTGGCAACTGACAGGGTGGTATTTTCATGTAATCCTTTATGATCTCAATTTTAGAATGCTTATCTTAGTTCCAGTCCAAACTTAATACTGACACTAAAGAGCGCTTACTACTTGAATATTTAAAGTAATGCTTCTCAGATTTGTCTTCAGAAGGCTCTTAAACAAAGACTGGGAGGAATGTGTAACTTAGAGGCATTTAGGAATGATGCCTTTGGTTCAGTTCAGTTCAGTTCAGTTGCTCAGTCATGTCCAACTCTTTGCAACCCCATGAACCACAGCACGCCAGGCCTCCCTGTCCATTACCAGCTCCCAGAGCTTGCTCAAACTCATGTCCATNGCAGATGGTGACTGCAGCCATGACATTAAAAGATGCTTGCTCCTTGGAAGAAAAGCTATGACAAACCTAGACAGCATGTTAAAAACCAGAGAAACATTACTTTGCTGACAAAGGTCCATCTGGTCAAAGCTAGTTGGACCATAAAGCAAGCTGAACGCAGAAGAATTGGTGCTTTTGAACTGTGGTGTTGGAGAAGACTCTTGAGAGTCCCTTGGACTGCAAGAAGATCAAACCAGTCCATCCTAAAGGAGATCAGTCCTGAATATTCATTAGAAGGACAGATGCTGAAGCTGAAACTCCAATACTTTGGCCATCTGATGCAAAGAACTGACTCACTGGAAAAGACCCTGATGCTGGGAAAGACTGAAGGCAGGAGGAGAAGGGGACAACAAAGGATGAGAAGGCTGGATGGCATCATTGACTCAATGGCCATGAGTTTGGGCAAGCTCCAGGAGTTAGTGATGGACAGGAAAGCCTGGCATGCTGCAGTCTGTGGGAGTCGCAAAAAGTCAGACATGACTGAGTGATTGAACTGAACTGATGAAAACCCCAGAGTTAGCACCATACTCAGTTGTGAAAGACTAAAAGCTTCCCCTCAAGGTGAGAAATAAGAGGATGCCTGCTTTTGCCACTTCTATTCAACGCAGCACTGAGAGTTCCAGCCAGAGCCCTGTGATGAGAAAATCGTTAGTTTGAGTTCCTTCCTAGGCATTTTACAGTGACAGCCCTGCTCCCACCTAAAGTCTGGGCATTGAGATGAAGGCTTAAGTTTAGGACTCCTGCTACAAGTTCCTGCTTTGCTTTTCCCAGGGCATCTTTTAAAATAAACAGAGTTGAGGTTGAGAAAAGTTAAGTTACCACTATGCCAACCAGCAAAGCCCCTAGGGAATTATTCACAGCTCCCTGATTCCAAGAATATGTTAATAAAAGATAAAAGTGGAAAACAAGGTGGAACTGGGGCTCCTGGGATATAAGACTAAACAAGGTATCTGGTCAGGGGCAGAAATGGATGAGTGCCCCACAGCCCCAGAAACTGACAAACAGGCTCACACCTTGTGGAGACAGGCTGCTGCACTGCAGAGCCTCCCTTAGAGTCTCAGGGGAGTCCCACCTGTGCACAGAGGCACTGCAGTTATGATCGAGCCAATCTTTATGCTGATTACAGTCAGTCATCATTTCTATCCACTCTTCTCAGTGAGTTCTTTCAAGAAAGTTTCCTCACCACCTTTCCTCAACGTGCTGCTGGTTGTGCTAGTCACTTTTCACACCTTCCTTTCCCTGTTCCCACTGTCTGCACCTTGAAATCTCAGTCCACACACCACACACAGGAAAACCCCAGCTTTCACCTCACCAGAACTGCTCCAGCAGTCTCTGCCAGGACTCACAGGTAAAGCTCACCTCTCTCAGTCCTGACTCAGCCCTCTCTGACCCTCCTCCCCAGACACACACAGCTGCTGATGGGAGGCTCCCTTGTTCCCCCACACCTGGGCTCCCTCACCACACCCACAGAAGCCATGCTCCTCTGTGCCTCTGGAGGGTTTTTCTAAGACCCCAGATCTGTTCTGGGCCTGGCTTTGCTCCCCTAATCCTCCAACATACTTGGACTTGCCCACAGCGCTGTCTCCCAGGCAGATGATTTTCACATTGTCATCAGCATCGTATTTCTCCTGGTCCAGCTCACAGGGTTTGGCTCTGTCCCTAGCCATTGGCTCCTGGCTATAGAAACGGCATCAGCTCAGGGGAGGGGGATCTTGTCACTGGAAAGATCAAGAAGAGGCTGTTGGTAAAGAGATGAGAAGTCCCCTCAACCAAATTCCCTTCCTCTTCTTGGACAGGGGAGACTGACCTGATGAGGAGAAGCCCCAGGAAACACTGATATCCTATTCTATTCACTACCAACCTGGCTAGCACTTGCTGAACCATAGCGTTGTGATCTTGTCTCCAACAAGATCTTCTTAGAGTGGTTTACCCTGTGTCACCTCTTTACTACAGCTATGCTCAGGACCACAACTCCCACTCCCATCTGGAGAGATTATTCTAAAACCATGTTGAAGTTTTACGTACAAACATTTGCTCACTTGCAAAGCAGGGGCAAAAATCAGTGCTTATACCACATAATCAATTTGAGACATTGGGTGGGCCTGAATTCTCACCGCTGAATGATAGACCACACAACCAAAGATGTCTCTGCCCGATCCTCTACCTCATGCTTCTCACCTCCACCTCATTTTCCATCCTACTGAAATCAGTAGCTGTTTTTTCCTTTCCCAAACCTGGCATTCCCAGGCCCTCTTCTCTAGGGTAATTTCAGCCTCTACTAGTTTCAAGGATCTCCTAAATGCTGATGATGCCAAATCTGCATCTCCACAGAGACCGCGCGCCCCTCAAGTATGCAATTGCCTACCGAGTTTTGACTAGCAAACTACTGCACACAGGCAAAAAGGACCTGTGAAACCTAAGCCCTGCCCACTCCAAACTCACTCTTCACATCCCTTGTCTGTACAAGACATCACCAGACACCCAATGCCAGCATCTAAGTATAACATAATCTCTAGATCTATTCCACTATCCTCACGTTATCACGCTCAAAAATATTAATAACTTCACAAACATTACTGAGAATGTGCCACAGTCCACACACTGAGCTCAACGATGCAACAACGCTGCAGCAGCGCCCGCACTTACTGAGCCTTAAATACGGGCAGATCTTGCACCGGGACACAAGACACGAAGGAAAACTGCTGTGGCAAGAGCTATGACAGAGATACACACAAGGGTGGAAAATACCAACAGGATCCCTGAGTTTCCTGACCGCAATGCTATTGCTTCTGCTCAGGAAGGCAATCAGCCTTATTCACCGAGGCACCCTCAGCCTCAAGAGCAGTGACCGGGAAGTGGCAGATGCTTGATAAGCATAATAAGGGGCTGCCCCTTCCACCTCCACCCTGCAGCTGGAGCCAAATCTATTCTCGAAGACCTTCAATGCTTGTCGATAGTCTCGCGACCCACTGGATAAGCTCTCTTTCACTCAAGTAGTTTTCGAGCACCTCAACCTCTTGGCCAGAATGGGCTGCCTTCGCCTCCCTCCTCCCACCGTCGCCAGAACCACTGTCCCGTTACTTCCCCCCACCGGGCCCTCCGTCCAGCTGAGGGCCCGAGGAAGGCCTTGAAGGGGCGCTTCCCACAGGCGAGGCCGCCACTCTCGCGGTTTCGTCACCTAGGCTGTTCCCGAGCGAGGACTGGAGACTAGCGGCGCCGAAGGTCGGTCCGCCCACGGCCAGCCGCCCTCAGGGCCCCCAGTCGCCCTCAGGGTCCCCAGCCGCCCTCGGAACCCGCCAGTCTCGGATTCCCCCCAGTGTCGGGCCCCGACAGTCAGCCCAAGGCCCACCGCCCCTCAGTCGGCATCCAGCTCTGCCCGCGTCCCCGCAGCTGCTACGCAACCGCTCAAGGACCTAAGGAGGGCTGCCCGGCCGAAGGCCTGAAGGACCCCGGGAGGCTGGCTCGTGCGATGCCGGGCCGGGTTACCGCCGGTGAACGAGCATCCGGATCAGGCCGGCCTCGGGTTTCCAACTGCCAGAGTCTGGGTGGGCTTCTCCTGGGGACTGAGCCAGGATCCAGACGGCTTTAGGTCCCGGGAAGTTGCTGAAAAGCGGGAGTGTGGAGTCTAGGGAACTGGGCCTGCGGCGCGGGGCGGGGCCTGAGTCGTGGGGCGGGACCTGGGGCGCGGCACGGCTCGGGGGCCTGTCGTTGGCACCTGGTAGGCGGCTGAGGTTAACAACCAGAGTCTCCTGCAGTACAGGAGGACTCTTTACCACCTGAGTTATCAGGGAAGCACTGAACACCCCTAGAATCTCTATATCCGTATGGAGACCACATCTCATATACATAGAGGACTGATTACACAATGGATAATGCAAGAGACAATCTTATAAAATGGGCAAAATAAATGATACAGATCAAAACAATGATTAGTATAGCTAGTTGTCATCCGGTCGAAATAAACCATCAAGTCCACAGGAGAGCCAACTGGAGAATCCAAATTCTGGAAGGATCAGGTAGTTAGAAAAACGTTTCATCTTTGTTTCCGAAAATATACTATAGCGATTTGTTGATACCTACTTAAGTATGTATCAGCCTATACATACTCATGTGCAGGGGTTTAGCCTATTTCAAGTCCAATCATTCCAAGCATAACCCTCCAATTTGCTGCAATTCTATCTAGTCATTTGTCTCAGTTTTATAGCAAAAGGACAGAAGCCCTAGAGCATTCATATAGACCAGTCAAAGATGCTAGGATGGCTCAGTCTAATGGGTTAAAAGTACCTATTTTGTCCAAATTTCACAAAATTTTATGCCAGTGTCCATTATTTGTTTTCATATCTTAGTCAAGATTCCGTATTGTATTTAGTTGCATTGAGTAGCCTCAGCTGCATGCAACAAGTTCTGATAAATTCTTTTTTCATTTTTATTCTGTTACAAATATTTTCTAATTTTCCTTGTTAGGGCATCTTAGATACACCCATCATTTAACAGTGGACATTTAATTTCCAAGTACATGGGGTCATTTTGGTATTTATTTCTCATTTAACTTCTTTCTTCTCTGCAGTCACTCTCTGTGTTTTTTCAGTCTTTTAACTTTATTGAGACTTTCAATGGCTGAGTCAAAGATCTCTCTTGGTAAATGTCACCTTGCACTTGAAAATATGTGGGTTGTTTTCAAATATCTTTTGACGTTAATTTCTAACATAATTGCACCATGATAACAGAACAGACTTTATATGATTTCAATACCTTTAGACCATGAAATTTTTGCGCCCGACTTTATGTCCCTGTACGTTCCAGTGTCTCCTGGTTTATAGTCTTTGGGAACTTGAATAGAGTTTGTATCCTGCTGTTGTATGCATGCATGCTAAGTCGCTTCAGTCATGTCCAACTCTTTGCAACCCTATGGACTGTAGTCCAGCAGGCTCCTCTGCCCGTGGCATTCTCCAGGCAAGAATATTGGAGTGGGTTGCCATGCACTCCTCCAAGGGATCTTCCTGACCCAGGGATCAAACTCCTGCATTGGTAGATGGACTCTTTACCACTAGCTCCACCTGGGAAGCCTGAAAATTTATCTGTCTGGGTGCATCAGGTCTTAGATACAACATGTGGGATCTTTAGTTGCAGCATGTGAACTTTTAATTGGGGCATGTGGGATCTAGTTCCCTGAACAAGGATTGAACCCAGGCACCCTGCATTGAAAGCAAGGAGTCTTACCACTGGACCTATAAATCTTAATTATGTTGAATTGGTTCATAGTGCTTTTCAGGTCTATTGTATCCTTCTACTTTTCTGCCCATGCATTCTGTTAAATTTTGAGAGTTTGATATTGAAACTCCAACTAATTATCTACTTAAAAAAATGATTTTAATATACTGTGGAATTGTGTGTAACTTTGTTCTGTATTTTCCAAGTCTCCTGTAAATGTGTTTCATAATTTAAAAAGTTTAAAAAATACATTTACCAAAAAAAAGCAATTGAAAAGTGGGCAGAAGAACTCAATAGACATTTTTCCAAGGACAAAATGCACATTTAAAAACTGCCATCAGGCATGTAAAAAGATGTTCAACATCACTAATGCGGGAAATGCAAATCACAACCAGAGTGATAAATCACCTCACACAAATCAGAATGACTATCATCAAAAAGAACACAAATAACAAATGTTGGTGAGAATATGGAGAAAAAGGAACTCTTGTACACATAGGTGGGAATGTAAAATTGGTGCAGCCACTGTGGAAGACAGTATAGATCTAAAAAACCAAAAATAAACCATATGACCTAATGTTTTTTCTTTTATGAGCCTTCTCTGTTTAGCAGCACAGTCTATGCAAGGACATACATTCTTGGTTTTACCGTGAGAATGGTAGGTCTCATCTCAAATTAGTGACTTGCCTTTACAACTATACTTATATTTATTTTATTTCCATATAAGGCACTTTAAAAATGACCTTTCTAGTGGTATATTTTAGAAAATTTTGAAAGAGATTTTAATATAATACACTAAAATTTTTTATTTTTAAAGATAAAGTCTTTTTAATAATAGCTCATGATGAATTTAACTTGACAGTTGAAGCATGATGTGGTAACTACATTATACTGTTTAATTCACAGATTTAGGAAAATGTTTGATTTAAAAAATATAACTAATGTGAAAATAAAATTAAATATAACCAGGTGAGATTGCATAGTTATGAGCAGTAAAATACTAGGAAACAGTGACTGAAAATATAAAATTATCTCTCACTGGTGATCATTCATTATTTTGCTTTCAGAAGCCTAGAAGAAATTGTCTTCATTGTTTCACATCTAGTCTGGTAAATCTAGGCATTTCTTAGCTTACTCAGTATAACCTTGAATTGCTGAAATAAGTGAATCTAAAGAGCCAAAGGAAAAAATAATAAAATAAAGAGCCAAAGTTTTTTCCTGTCTGAGACAGCCAAAGATGAACATATTGAGGATTTCCCCATAGACGTCTACCTTGATAGACTATCAGGTATGCCTGAAATCGGTTTCTATGGGCATTTTATATTCTTGTAGTATGAGTTCCAACCTATGCTCACCACTGTCTAATGGACATCTCCACTTCCAACACTGATCCAATACTGAGAAATGTCAGTGGATACATAAATAGACAGAATGCTGCTTGTTCAGGAAGGTTAACTGTGGAGATGCCTAGCTACTTGGGGCTGCAACCAAAGTCCCACACTACTTAACCATCGCAGAAATATGGCAAGCACCTCAGAACACCTCCTGCTCAGTGCTGAGGCCCTGTCCCACATTCCAGACTAACCCGGGGACACACTGTGTGGAGCTTGGCCACAAAACCAAGCCAGCAGTGCCAGTAACAAGCCGGTCTTGTACTTTTCAGCCCCTGCTTTTCTCCATTCCTGCGTTCTTTTGGACTTAGCTGATGTTTTTGGTACTATAATTTTTTTTCACTTTTTAAATGTTAAAATGTATATAACAAAATTAACCATTTTAACTCATTTCTAAGTGTGCAATTCAGTGACATTAAGAACATTCATATGTAACCTTCACCACTGTCAATTCCAGAATTTTTTTGTGATCCCAAATAGAAACCCTAACCATTAAGCAATTGTTCCCCATTCTGCCCTCCCCTAAGCACTGGTAATGCTAGAAACATAATGCTCAAAATCCTTCAAGCTAGGCTTCAGCAGTATGCGAACAGGGAACTCCCAGATGTACAGGCTGGATTTAGAAAAGGCAGACAAATCAGGGATCAAATTGCCAATTTGATCAACTGGACCATAGAGAAAGCTAGAGAATATCAGAAAAACATCTGCTTCTGCTTCACTGACTACACTAAAGCCTTTGACTGGGTAGATCACAACCAACTGTGGAAAATTCTTAAAGAGATGGAAATACCAGACCATCTTATCTGCCTCCTAAGAAAGCTGTGTGCAGGTCAAGAAGCAACAGTTAGAACTGGACATGAAACAATAGATTGGTTCCAAATTGGGAAAGCAGTACGTCAAGGCTGTATATCATCACCCTGCTTATTTAACTTCTAGGCAGAGTACATCATGAGAAATGGCGGTCTGGATGAAGCACAAACTGGAATCAAGATTGCCAGGAGAAATATCAATAACCTCAGATATGCAGATGACATTACTTTGTGGCAGAAAGCAAAGAGGAATTAAAGAGCCTCTTGATGAAGGTGAAAGTCGACAGTGAAAAAGCTGGCTTAAACCTCAACATTCAAAAACAAAGATCATGGCATCTGGTCCCACCACTTCAAGGCAAACAGATAGGGAAAAAATGGAAACAGTGAAAGACTTTATTTTCTTTGGCTCCAAAATCACTGCAGATGGTGACTGCAGCCATGAAAATAAAAGACTCTTGCTGCTGGGAAGAAAAGCTATGACAAACGTAGACGGTGTATTAAAAAGCAGAGACATTGCTTTGCCTACAAAGGTCCATGCAGTCAAAGCTATGGTTTCTCCATTAAGTTCAGTTCAGTCGCTTAATCGTGTGCGACTCTTTGTAACAACATGGACTGCAGCACGCCAGGCCTCCCTGTCCATCACCTACTCCCAGAGTTTACTCAAGCTCATGTCCCTCGAGACGGTGATGCCATCCCACCATCTCATCCTCTGTCATCCCCTTCACCTCCTGCCTTCAATCTTTCCCGGCATCAGGGTCTTTTCCAAAGAGTCAGTTCTTTGCATCAGGTGGCCAAAGTATTGAAGTTTCAGCTTCAGCATCAGTCCTTCAGTAAATATTCAGGACTGATTTCCTTTAGGAAATCTCCTTGATGTCCAAGGGACTCTCAAGAGTCTTCTCCAACACCACAGTTCAAAAGCATCAATTCTTCAGCACTCAGCTTTCTTTATGGTCCACATGACCTGCATACAGGTTTCTCAGGAGACAGGTCAGGTATTCCCATCTCTTTAAGAATTTTCCATAGTTTGTTGTGATCCACACAGTCAACGGCTTTGGCATAGTCAATAAAGCAAAAGTCGATGTTTTTCTGGAACTCTCTTGCTTTTTTGATGATCCAACAGATGGTGGCAATTTGCTCTCTCATTCATCTGCCTTTTCTAAATCCAGCTCAAACATCTGGAAGTTCACAGTTCACGTATTGTTGAACCCCGGCTTGGAGAATTTTGAGCA